GCCTATCGGCTCTAAGCACAAGAGGCTGGTTAGCAAACTAAAATCCTCCAGCACTCACGTTAGGCAGGCAGGCATCAGTAAACTACATTTTAGTGTAGACAATGAAAAACACACTTGCATTAAATTGCATTAACTTTTGCCTATTATACTTAGTTTGTTCAAATTCTCCCTCATATTTCGTGCTTTTCCGTGATCTTGTATATCCTCATTAACAGATAAAGCAGTAAGATTTTTATAAAGACTTAGAAACTTTACCAGCTGGATTTGAAATCCAAGCACTGCTGATGACCAGGTTCATGAACAGGAAACCGTCTCCTCCTGCAGCCAAAACCTCCCATTCTAGCTTGGGTGGCGTACACATCTCAGCAGTACCAAAACCTCGCAATTCAATGGTAGTCTTCCTTAATCAAAGCTGCTCTAGAATTCAAAGTGAGAGGTAGAACGCATTAAATGGCTGCAACATTAAAAAAAAATCAGGCGTAAGGCTTATTATACCTTCTTGTAATTCTAAGTGACACTTACTTTAAGAGTGAGTTTGTCTTTTTCAGGGCAATTATTCAGACACGCAATGCAAACTTCTTAGTCCGCATACAGAGCTTTTACCTTTGCAGAACCATACAAACACGTTGTCTAACACTGACAGCCTTTCCGTACACACTTGCACCGAGTAGGCATAGGGACTAAGACACAAAGAGCATAGCTTACTCTTGTTTGCCCTCTTTCATCTGTTCTGAACTCCTGAACAGCACTGCTTATCCACAGACACACTCTTGCTTGTGCAGGCACGTGGGTCCCAGTCTCTTCAGTCCACTTTCCCATTAACAGCACCTGGAGATGTCACTGTATCATATGGTTCTGCTTCAAGGCATTCTGGCTCTGCCTTCTCCCATGACAAAAGTCTTTGTTTTCTTTGCTTTGTTTTACCAACGCCACAGTTACATTCCTTCCAATATGCTGGAGCCACTTCGGCTTTCCATATTCATATCAGGTCCCTGGACTATCAGGGAGTCTCAGGAATGCTCTTTTTGTAGCTTGAAGAAGTATAGAAATTTCTTCTTTGTATTACTATTGGCTGGAGCAGCAATATCTGTAAACCTTGAAGGGTGAGGAGAGTGGCAATGCACATGCCACAACTTTGAGTTAAAGACAGTTCCAGAGGCAGAAATGCTGGGTCTGCAAACTATTATCTGGAATTTGGGTATTTTCCATTTTCTTCCTTTTAGAGTTAGCCCACGTTCACCAAAATTGATGAATTCTGGGCTTTCGTAACTAAAGTTACCAGTGAAGAACCGATTGCATGCACCAGGTTGAAGAGCAACAGACAGCAAGACTAAAGAGCCATTGTTAAATGTCCCTTTGGTGACTTCTCCATCTTACACTTCATTACTATAAAAGCAGAGTTTACTCTTCTGAACTTGCACAATGTAAATTTGACATCGGTTTCGAAACAAACAGCCATGATCTTTGTTTTATGCATGTGCCAAAGTTTTAAACATCATGTTCACTGTCTTGAAAGTTTGGGGCGGGGTTTGTTGGTCTTTTTTCCTCCTCCAAAAAGTATTCCAAGTCATCTTTGCTTACATTAAGGCAACTTTAAATTTCCATTTGACCACACTGTGTGGCTTTGGTGCTTCCAGAAAAATAAAATATTACCAATCATTGTATTGAGGAAACATAGCTAAAGGAGTGTTGTAAAAATGCACTGAAATCAACAATCCTGCTTTTGCTCTGATTAAGCTTAGGAAGCAGAAGTTAAAATAATTTTCAAAACAGCACATTAAGTAAATGCATTACATTTTATGTCATTTGTTTACTGGCTGACTGGAAACACTATGAAGCTTTTGTCCAGCTAAACATTTGATACACGAAATTGATTTAATCCATTGAAAACAAGTATTCGTAATAAAACTCAGGCCACTCAAGCTGACATTGGTTGATGTAGAGATATAATTAGCAATGTACTGAAAAGAGTCTATGTTTGCTCAGAAACAGGCTTCTTGGTACACGCAGTAGGAAGCTCTTTCCTGTGACTCCAGTAAGAACAGGCTTCTGAGGCTCCATGCTTTTAGCTGAATATGTTGAGTTAAGGTCCATTTTAAAGGGACTTTGAAAGGAATACAGCGGCTGTGCACTTCTCTGGTGCAGTACCAGTCCTACTCCTCTGTGCCAGCCTGCCTGCTCTAGCTTTGCATAAACACTGTGTAAAGAAAGACACCGTGCTTCCGGTGGACTTACTACCACAATTCCAGTGCTGCCTGCTCAGCATAGATTTTGTCATTCACCAACAGGACCCCTAGCAGCAGGACTATGATTTCTGTAACAGACAACATCCCACCCTTAGCAGGAATTAGGGGTCTAGCCCTAAGAATACAGATATCCACAGTGCTATGGTAGCAGGTGATCTGTACATGTCACTAAAGCCTAAATGTTGGGCACAACTTCTGATGTCTCCTTTATGACTCCAGCTTCAGACCTTTATTTATACAATACAAGGTTAAGATCTGCATCTTCTGAAGTGAGTCAGTATTATTCCAGTTTTACAGAGGATGAAATGGAAATTCAGACTCTGGAAAGATAAGGAAAGAACACCTGAATTCTTTCCAACCACTAAGGATAAGAACTTTGTTTTAAACAATGGGATACATACTTAGAGGAACCCTATCTTAGTGGTCTCCGGGAAGAAACCATGTCCCTGAGGAGCAAACATCCTGTAATCATCCACAGCTGCTTTAAAATGTTTTTAGTCTTGGTGATCAGGGCTGATTGCTTCAACCAAAAGAAAAGCATGACTGAAAGTGCAATTTGGATAGCGACTGACTTTGTGCTGAAAGAATCACCAGCAGCTATAGGAGAATTCAGCCTGTATGGTGTACAGACTTAGTAGTGCATCTGAACCATTCAGTGTGCTAGACCCTGTTCAGTGGCGGGAGATGTCTGCATTCAGTTTCAAAGGGCTCCTTCAGAAACACTGGCATTCATCTAGTCCTGCACTCAGAAGCCAGGAAAGCCCTGGTAGCTGGGTAACAAGCTGAAGTCTGCCCCTGCCCTTACAAGGCAGGAGTGCACACACGGGCATTTGAAGAAATAGAATTTCATGGCTAAGAGACATGCTGCAACAAAACACCAGCCTGTGAAATCTAAACAATTAGCAATAATACTGAAAGTAACAGAAATTGCAAGGAAGCCTCCTCCATCCTGTCTATGTAATCTTTCCCGCTGCTGACCAATTCTGCAGTGAGAGCTGCCTTGCTGGGCAGCTGACCTCCCCTGCTCACCGCTCGCTGTTGCACAATTCCTCCTGCAACTCTCTTCACAACTGCTGCGGGATGGTCTTTTACCCCAAAGGGACATGCAGGATCTGGAATACTGATGCCTACTCCAGTGAAGGTGACTGCAGAGCTGCTTCTGGGCTGGGAAGCTCTCCCACTTCTTTAGGCTACTGCTCTTTTCAGTCTCAGAGCTGTCACTGGCAATAGCTCACTGCTTCATTCCACAGGTCTGCTCTTGAGCTAGCAGCTACTTACTTTTGCTAACCCACGCGACTGCTCAGTGTCTGTCTGTAAGGTCAGAATCAGCATGTAACAAACCCCTCATTAATTCTCTGTTATAAAACAACCCAACCAACCCAGCTGGTGTGAATTTGTCAGAAGAGCCTCCTTCCTACTACTGGAGATTGCTATTCAGGTCAGGTGAATCTTTCTCTGTCACCCTTCAAACACATGCAACAGGTAGAGGCTGGACACTATTTCTTGCCCATACACCTTCAAACATGAAGAGAGTGACTATAGCTCCTAATCTAAAAATTCACCAGTATACATTTCTCTTTTTATCTTAAGATATTGCAACTTTCTAATAACATGCAAACAAGGTCTAGTCCTCCAGGCAGACATTGTGACTTCTCTATAGTAGGCACCAAATGCCCTTCTGGCAAGTTTAATATGAGCGCTCCTCACCAGTGCTACGCTGGCATGAGGGCAGCTGGCTGACCAAGTGACCTGGGCCTTGGGGCAAGGGGCTGCAGCCAGGGCAGAGGGGGAAGAGGAGCACCAGGAGGAGGAGCAGTGAACAGGGAATGGTGGGGGGGAGGATGTGTCGGTGGAGAGGGAAGGGGAACACAGCTTCCCATGGGTCTGAATGCCCTGATCGTGCCTGCAGCCTCCTCAGATCACCACCAGTGCCCAGCCTTGCCTTGATCACCTTTCTCCCAAGGATGCACATCTTCGGAATGGAGCCTCATCCCTTGTTGATGCTTGTGAGCCTGCCTTAGGACAGCTGCCTTGCTGTCTGCAGGGTAGTGAAAATATTGCAGCTCTGGAGCAGTATCGGAGGGCACTGTTAAATAGATGTGTGTTAAAGGGGCTCTGCCATTTACCCATTTACAGAGGATGTTTAGGAGATATTTGTAGGCATTTCAGTCCCCAAGTCTGGTAACAAGCTTTTCTCCTTGTCTTACAGAACACTTAAAAACAGGTGAAAATAATTTTGTTGTTCAGGTTTGAGCCACATATTCCCATTGGAGGTGGGAGAATGGCATCTCCAGTGGAGATGCTGGAGAATGGCATAGTCTATTAAACATAATTGTTGTGCTCTAAGACAGGAAGTATTCTCACCAAATAATTCAACAGGATAACTCCTGTTCTCCTCCTGGCTTCCTCAGGCCACTGCATAAACCCATCTTCCCAGTTCCAGTATTTACACCAATGGAGTCTGTGTCCTTACCTTGCCTTTACAGTCTAAACCTTAGCATGAGTTCTTCTCAGTCACATATGCGGACTCTGAGAACTCCCAGGGGAACAACTATTCTTGGTTTTGAAAGCTAGAAGACAGAATTATTTCAGCTGAAAAATAAATGGATTCACATAGTCCCAGAAATGGATCCCCATATGCAAACGCAGGAGTTTTTTTTATTTGCAACTATAGCTGGTTTATTCCCTTTTCCCATTACATACTAAGCAAACACAAACATTTCCCCAACATTGCCACCAAGGCTAGGTGCCCAGGCACAGGAATGGCGCAAAAGAAAAACCGGGCTTGAAAACTCAACCATTCTGAATAAAAGGCTCTTTACAGAGACCAATGTCTGGTCATCCTTGCCTCTCTTTCTTCTGGCATTGCATGTCCTGGGCAGCAGCATGACAAATAACGTTCTCTTCATTCAGCTCCCATTTCTCTCTCGTCTTCCTTTGCAGTGCAATTGCTCCATATGGTTTCACTAGTGTGTAGCTGCGGTCTGTGAGGGGTTTGAGCTCTGCTGTCTGGTCCCACTCCTTTGGCATTCTGTTTGCTTCAACCTACGCATACTTCCTCTTTCAAATAAGCCACGGACTTAATTTGGAAAACAGACTTGCAATACTTCAGCCTGCGTTGTAGCTGAGCCTCCAGGGGCTGTGGAGAGTGATCCTGTGCTGCTGAGCAAGTTCTCATGAGTGCAGTCAGGGTTCCTGTGATACTTGTCCTTGCATAGCACATCCATGCAGGCACTCTTACACACATTTGCATGCATCTCTGTCCTCTTTTGCTCTAGTAGACAGTTCTCCACTCTGCAGTCAGAGAGTGGGTACAGAGAGCAGCTTTTCTGCCTTCAGAATCTGTTACTCAGAGGAGTTCTGGGAAAACAAAAGATCCAGCGACATATTTTTTTGCTCTTCTTCAGACTGAACAAGCCGGTAGCCCAGCAAGTCCATTGCATCCTTGCACACATACTGCACTTTTTCTATTTTCTGGAAGGGAATGGTCTTCCTCCAGGCCTGGGATACACTCAGTGCATCTCTGGACCCAATATCAAAGGCCTGTGCACCTTGCCCCTTCCCATGGGTGATGTTGTGCACCCACTTCTGAAGTTCTGGTGTGAAATGGAGTTCTGCAAACCTGTACATCTGAGCAGCCCTCGCCAGTGGGTCTCTGACAATGTCTTCATAGCGAACCAGGAGGTAGCGGTCTTTCAGGAAGCTGGGAATGGCCTGCCTGCCTGCCTTGTAAATGTCAACATGGCTTTTGCAGATTACTTGCATTGTGTTATAGGTCCCCATTTTCCCCTTAGTCCCCTGGGACCCCACAACAATGTCACTGTCACGTTTCAGCTCTGACATTATATTCTCTCGGGACCTGAACACAGCCCGAGGATCACGTACCAAGTGAATGATTTTGAGGTTCAGGGACGGATCAGTGAGAAGGGGGTAGAGAACTTTCAGGTCAAAGAACCGAACCTCCTTGATGGCAACGTGGCTGTAGGTTTTACAAGCTTCCTCCACCTTGCTGAATGGGTACTTGCCACAGATTGTTCTGCAGTTGCCTGCAGTGATTATGTCACTGCGACTGAATAAGTCACAGGCAGGGGGTGAGCACAAGGCTCGGCTTGTTTCCCACTGAAATAAATCAGACTTTTTCTTCTGGCTAGACATGTAAGCATCAAATACAGACATGTCACACAGAAAGACCGACCTGACTAGGTCCCGCACTGCCATGTGCAAGACCTTGGCACTGTTCTGGTACATCGTAACCCACACGTGCCATGCGGGCTCCATCAGGTAGAAGACGCTGGGGTGCTGGCTGAAAAGTTGACCGACAAAAGAAGATCCCGACCGCCAGGAGGAGAGAATGAGGATGTGGACTGGAGAAGGTTTTTCTTCCACAGGGGCATTGTTGCTGCAGTGTAGGAAGTAGAAGTGGATCAGAAGGAAGGACAGAATTGCAAGAATCAGGAGCACCTGCACTCTTCTAGATGTCATCACATTTGCAAGGGACTTGCAGAGACAGAGGAAGTTCAGCATCACAGGATCACAAAGAAGGCAGGATGTGGTGCATCAGGCTCCTGCCAATTGCTCTGCAGGCTCAAGATTTTGGAAAGCTGCCACACTGCCAGTGAGTCTGTGACAACCACAGCACAAGGTGTCTTTGGAAAGAACGTAAATCTTGCAGGGCTGAAGGTTTCCTGTAACAAAACCAGTGTTTGTCAGTAAACCATTCTAATGCAGACTTAGAAGATCACTGAAAAGCTTTTCTGCACTTTTATTGAAGTTTGAGAGTTATTTCAGTTACTGAAATAAGTCAGTACACACAAATGTGTACTTAGTGTACACAATCCCACCCAGCCGCTCGCTCACTTCCCCCCAGTGGGAGGGGGGGGGAGAATCAGAAGAGTAAAAGTGAGAAAACTCATGGGTTGAGAAAAAGACAGTTTAATAGGGAAAGCAAAAGCCGCGCACCCAAGCAAAGCAAAACAAAGAATTCATTCACTGCTTCCCATCAGCAGGTGGGTGCTCAGCCATCCCCAGGAAAACAGGACTCCATCACGCATAATGGTGACTTGGGAAGACAAACATCCCCCCTTCCTCCTTCTTCCCCCAGCTGAGCATGACATCATAGGATGTGGGATATCCCTGGGGTCAGTTGGGGCCAGCTGTGTCCCTTCCCAATTTCTTGTGCACCCCCAGTCTGCTGGCTGGTGGGCCGGTGTGAGAAGCAGAAAAGGCCTTGACTCCGTATAAGCACTGCTCAGCCGTAACCAAAACACGCCTGTGTTATCAACACTGTTTTCAGCACAAATCCAAAACACAGCCCATGCTAGCTACTATAAAGAAAATTAACTCTATCCCAGCCAAAACCAGCACACAAAGGAAGTCATTTGGCACTGTAATAAATCCAAGCACAATAACATCTCCTCCACAATCAGAGCATCATAGACAATTTTGCTAGAAAGGCCCACAAGGGTTTATCTCATCCATCTTTGTGTAGGCAGGTTCACCTATAACTAACCCCTTCCTTAGCCTAACTCCTTTTTAAAGGCTGTTTCCCACTACCCCTCCCTCCAACTCCCCCTCATCCTGTAGGTCTTTTATGAGAGGAGGTACAACACAACGTGTTAGTCTAACTCAAAGGTCTGCCCAAAGCTGGCTCCTTGTTTCTCACACTAAGCCTCTATTCTGCCTGTTGATGATGACTTCATTATTGGAAAACCTCCATTGTGCTGCCTGGGGACAATTCATAGCCTGGGTACTGGCTGGCACAGGAACCTGCAGGAAGTACTCCATCAGGGATGGGATCTGAGGCAGAAAGGAGTCGCTTAACTTCAAAAAAGTACATTAAAGCATGCTCTGCCAGCTGCTCCTCTCCTGTGTGCTCTCCTCCTGCCCTGCCCCAGCCACGCCTGATTGTGCTTTGGATGCAGGTGGGGACCTGCAGCACTGGCCACCCCTGGGGACAGGCTCCTCAGATAGCACCGGAGTCCACCCCGTACCATGTGCTCCCCGTCACCACACACCAGGCTGGCAGTCCAGCCGTGCTGCAGTGGGGACAGGCCTCTCTGGCCAGTGCAACTGCTTTACATGTCCCCAGGTGAACTAAAATTAAAAAAACCTTACTGGTTCTCAGTCACGGTCAGTCCTTACAGGTGTTTCCACAGCCAGACAGGACAGGGAGAGCAGAGCCTTCAGGACGAGCTGGAAGTCCTCCTGGACAGAGCAGCACAGGAGCCCAGGTCCTCACACCTTTGTACTGCTTTTGTGCAGCCCCCGATTGCACTGAGTTCAGGCAACCATGCCCACATAGAGAAGCTGCCTCACTATTAAGCAGGGATATGAAGTGTGCCCCAGCTGGCCACAATGCAGACACCGCTTCCCTGCTATATCCTTACCACGTTACCTTCTGGGTCCATGGTAACATGTGAATGTTCCCAGTCAAAATTTCCCTAACCTCCGCCTTATGCCTCTGCAGCAAAGTTTTCAGACTAATTTGCATGGAGGTGCGTCCTCCCATGATTTCCATTCCGGCAGCACTGATGTTTAGATTTGCAGGTACAGTCACTGCTGCTAACCAACCAGGAACACTACTCGCCTTCCCTCCAGCATATACGCATAAATTGGCTTGTTTGTCTAATCTACCGGCTGTGAATTCATTTTGAGCTTAGGGTTTATAAGGCAGCAATTATAATTTCTCAGAGCCAGGACAATACCCAGCCCAATGGGCAAGCCTGGCTGTCGCCAATAAGTGCTACCACAATATGAATTTTCTTTCAGTAATGTCTTGCAAGGATGGGGCTGTGCATTTAGTGAGGGACCACATGATCCTGGTCTCCCGGACAGGAAGCCCACTGATTTTTTTTTTGTTACACAAATAGACTGTAGTGTTCAGGTCTCACAAGATGCTGATTCAAGTCAGCATTTGGACCAAGCCTAGGAAGAGCTGCAAACAAAGACTGTTGTAATATATTGGCTTCCTCCTTGCAAATGAATACAACAGTGTTTACCAAAAGTCCTGGCTTCTGGATGAACTTTGATGATATCGCTTTCATCTAGCACCATTAATATTGTTATTCTAACTCCCGACAGAGCTCCCGGACTACAGCCAGCAGCCCTTAACTGAGAAAAACTCTGTTGCGCAGACAAGAACACTGGCATTAAGACATTCAGGCAGATTTAAAACCACAGAAATCATTATTTCTCTGGAAGCCAGTGTGCGAATAGTCTGAGTAAAAGAGAATGGATTCAGGTTTTTCAGGAAGCAAGGGCGTGCTTTTTTCTTGAATCAAACAAGCGTGGGGCAGCTGACATTTTAGACATCTCAGAGTGTATGCAGGCCATCCCTGTGACTGCTCTTGGCGTTTGCCTAAGAAATGGCCTCATGTGAGGCCACGGGCTCAACAACTTCTTCACTCTTATGCAAGACGTAGTGAAGACTGCTGCCCTGACCAGTCTGTCCCACAGGGAGAGGAGGATGACTGAAATGAGTTGTGTGTGCCTGGTGAAGTGGAAGAGAGGTGCAGCAAAGATCAGTAGAGGTTCTAGCAGACATTTCCTAACATAAGAGAAATACTAATTACATAACCTTATTTTTCACCACTGTATATCTCGATCATGGCAGCTGGGATGTTTCTAAACTAAGGTCTTAAGCTTAACCACATTTTTCCTACAGCAAACATCGAGAGTCACAACTGATTCAGTTCATTTCATATTGCAAAAGAGGAATATGAAGCCCTTGTAGAGCTGCAGAGTAAAGATCAGCCCAGAATGGTTGAGACAATCTCAGTGGCAGAACAAAGAAAGGCATGCTGCTACTGAGTGCTGACAGAGATGAGCCAGGATTTAGCTGAGAGCAGGAAGAACAGGAAGAATCTCAAGGCATGAAGGATGAAGATCGGAAACTACTGAAAAATACAGCAATCCAGTGTCACCATGTTAGTCTCCCACAGCACACGTACAAGAATGTAAAGAACTGGGATCTGCCTGCCTGAGCAGCTAGTGTCTGAAAAAATGAACAGAGTTTTAAGCTTGTCCAGAGACACACAGGAGCCTTGGAAAAGCTTGATCCTGGCAAAGAAAGAGCATTACAAAGAAAGAGCAGCCCCAGGGAGACGTACCCGCCAGACACAGTCTGAGCATGGGCAACATGTCCCCAGAGTACAGGGCTGTTGAACCTGCGCGTGTCTGGGGCGTGTGTGTGTACCAGTACAGCCCAAAACACCTGGTGCTAAGCAGACTGTGCCCAAGTGCTCTGCGAGTCTGGGGGAGGCCTCCAGACCTATACAGATCCCTCACTGCTGTAGTGGCAGTCATGGAGCAAAGAGGACCTGGTGCCAGGGAAGCCCCAGACACTGGTCTTTGATGGCACTGAAGGTTGCTCATAGTTTTATCAAATCCTTCTTCAATTTGGCCTGATCAGCTTCTGCAGAATTAGAAGTAGCCTCTGCCTGTTCAGAGAACAGATGGCGTGACTGTCACTAGTGGGAAATGCTGAGAAGGGGCACTGAGAAGCCAGTCTGGAGAAGCAAGAACTACCCTCTAAGCCAGACCAACAGCTTCTGTCTGCAGGAGGAATCGTGTAGCAATTTACTGGCATCCATATGTTCACAGTATATTAAAAATTATCTCCCTGTTCAGGCTGCTGAGCATGAGCAGGGAATACAGTTCTGAGCACCAGAGCATCCACGCCCGACACCAAGAAATGGTTGAAAATCTCACCTTAACAAGTCCTCTTGCAGCACCACCAGACCTGGTTCAGGAATTTGCCCTCACACACATACACTGCTGCAGTACATGCTACTCCAGGCACCCACACAAACAGCCGTGCATTCATGTGCTGGCCCTCTGCCTTCGTGCGGGCTCTCATACACACATGTACTCAGCTCTTACCTATACCTCTGCATGCTCCCTCCTTCCCTCTCATTTGTGCGTGTACCAGCTCTAACTACGGTGCCCGCCTACTTTTCCCAGCCTTGAACTAGAAAACTCCACCCTGCACTGAACAGCAAAGCACGGGAATGGCAGTTTCTTCCAGGGGCATGAATGACCAAACGCTACCAGTAAAGAAGGGCCAGGAAATTAATGAAGGAGACTGAGAGGTGCTTTTCTGTTAAGCCCCATTGCAAGCCCCAAAAGAGACTGCTCTCCATGGAAGGGGGAACAGGGATGTCTGTGGAGTGTCAGAGCAATGGACCAACGGGAACCCTTGTTGCAAGGGGGACCAGCTTGTCCACCAGGAGTGCAGGGATAGGGCATATTTGCCTATCATTGCTCTGGCTGCTTGCCATGTTGTCAGCAGATGCAGATTCACATAACGTCTTTTTGACTCTTTTCTGTCTGCGCCTTGCTTGAGTTAAACATTTGGGGACTGGGAAAGGAAATTGTGTGAAAGGAGAAGCTGTGAAAGGAACAGCTGGACTTGGCCTGTTAATGATTCACAAGGGTGATGGAGCCACAGTGGGGCTGTGCCAGGTAAGGTAGTGAAGCAGGGC